GACCGAACAGGCAAGAAAGGCTTATGGTGACAGGATTAGAAACGTGTCTTTATTTAGCGATTCGACGGTCGTTCTCAATTGGATAGCAGAGTCACCTAACATTAGGAAGACGTATGTGGCAAATAGAATCACCAAGATTCAACTTCTTTCACAAGGTGTGACATGGCGTCATGTTCCGTCCAAGGATAATCCGGCAGATCTTCTTTCCAGAGGCATGTCAGTGGAAATGTGGAGGACCAGTCAGTTATGGTGGCAAGGGCCTGAGTGGCTCGTCACCGATCGATGGCCTGAACAACCAGAAATCTTAGGCGATACGTCCGAGATGAAGATCACTGCACTAATCGCCACCAGAAACGAGGAGTACGACATCCTACGAAGATTTTCAGACTATGGGAAGCTTTAACGCATAGTCGCTTATTGTCTGCGTTTTAAGGCAAATTTACTTGGCGCAAAGAAGAGTGGCCCTTTAACGCCAGCCGAAATAGAGCAAGCGGAAACTATCATATTGAAGACTGTCCAGCGAGAAGTTTTCCTGAAGGAGGTGCGGGCTCTCGAACAGCAGCAATCGATTCCCAAGGGTAGTAAGTTGTCGTCCCTCAGTCCTATCTTGGATCAGAAGGGAGTCATAAGGGTAGGTGGTCGGTTATCACAGGCCGACATTCCCGAAACTCAGAAGCATCCAATATTGTTGCCAGCCAAGCACCACGTTACAACTATCCTCAGGAGGAAGGAGCATCTCAGGCTTCACCATTGCGGCCCGGAGCAGTTGCTCTACTCAACACGTGTAAAGTATTGGCCTTTAAGTGGACGACGAGAAGCAAACAAGATTACGAAAAGTTGCATAGACACCTGAGGTCTTCATGGGAGATCTTCCTGAGGATCGAGTTCGTCATAACATGAGACCATTCACCACAGCGGGCGTAGACTACGCCGGGCCATTGCAGGTACGAGAGAGTCGCAGGCGGGGAAGGATTCACATCTCGAAGGCCTGGATCGCCGTGTTTACCTGTTTTGCCACTAAGGCCGTACACATAGAGCTAGTGACGGAATTAACTACCGAGTCATTTCTAGCTGCATTAAGAAGGTTTGTGGCGAGAAGAGGAATTTGCTCGAAGATCGTATCCGACAACGGCACTAATTTTGTCGGAGCTGCGAGAGAGCTAGCAGAAGTATACGAGTTTCTTTGGAAGGAGAAAGAAGCCATAGCCACATACTTGGCTCGTCAGAAAATCGAATGGAGGTTTATTCCTCCTCGATCTCCACATTTTGGAGGTCTTTGGGAGGCCGCTGTCAAGGCTACCAAGCGTCACCTCCACACTGTCACGAAGGGTCTGGTTTGGACGTTTGAGGAATACGCAACGCTGCTCGTGAAGATAGAAGCAATCCTGAATTCAAGGCCTCTCACTCCCTTTTCCAGTGATTCTAACGATTTATTGGCATTAACCCCATCTCATTTTCTTACAGGGGATTCATTGTTGTTTCCACCAGAGTATAGTTATATGAAAGTCCCGGATAACAAGCTGTCATGATGGCAGCATGCTCAGAAATTACGCCAGCATTTCTGGAAGCGTTGGCAGGAGGAATACCTCCAAGAGCTGCAAAAGCGTCATAAGTGGCGTAATAAGGGCAAGGATCTCGAGGTCGGTACTCTAGTCATTCTGAAGGAGGACAATACACCCCCTCTACAGTGGGTCCTAGGCCGAGTGGAGGAAGTTCATCCTGGCAAGGACAACGTGATTAGAGTGGCTACAGTCAAAACGCCCACTGGATTGTTTAAAAGAGCCGTCCAAAAACT